TGATGCTGCCAACATCATAAGGAAGCCCATAGGTGCTCAAGAATCTTTCGGGGATCTAAACCATATTTCGGCTAGATGTGTAGCATTGCTGAGTTGGCCTTACCTTGACGAAATTGCGCAAATAATTGCTGGGGACGTTCTCTTGGATGAAAGATATGTAATCATCGCGATCATATCGCTGCTGATGGTGGAATAGACCAAGGGCGTGTCCGATTTCGTGTGTAGTTACACCAAACTAAAGAAATTATTTTGAACAATCCTTCAAACTACTAAAAACAAGCTGAAAACTTACATGGTAGCAACCTCTTCCAATATTCACTGGCTGTTCTGGTTGTTCAGTATCTCTGCCCACGGAGGAAAAACATCCTTCGTTCTCTCCTAAATTTCTGCTTTTCAGATGAATTCCATTGCAAAAGGCAAATGGAGCTTTACCTGTGAACAGAATATATTGAGTCTCATTGTCTCGTTCCCGAAAAGTCACACAAGTGTTCGATTGCCAGAATGCGATTGCGTTTCTCAAGCTGGTAATTGCCAGAGGTGCTGAAAATTGATGTGATCCAAATCCTCTAAAAAACTCACACTTACAAAGTTCCGGATCGAACGCATATGGCACCCCATCGGACCAAATTGTGTCTGGGTAGAAAATGTCTTTGTAAGCCCATCGCTTGGTGCGCACATGACTATCCGTAGATTTTTCCAAACCTAGACTTCGTCGCAAAGCTCCGCTTAGGATCATGTCCCCTCGGAGATACACTGATCTAGAAATTCGCCTTTAGCATCTGACCATGTTCTAATGAGGGTTTGCCTGCAAATATTGCTTCAGAGGTAGTACAAATTCGCAAGCTATGAATTTTTAGGGTATTGGCAAAAACTTTCTTTTTCAGGGTTTTCTCTGAAGAACAGTGGGCTGGCATTTTTTCAGTTCTACTTTTGCTCAAATACTGATGAAATACTGACGATGTCAAAATGTGTTGCAAAAGTATATCCCTTCCCACAGCCCGCTTTACTTTGCCATATGTCACATGTAGGAATTTTCCGATGCAAAAAGTTTTATGCGATTATCACTCCGACCTTTTCTTTGATAAGTTCTCAGCTTTGTCAGAGCTTCAGCCTAAAATTACGTCATAGGCGCTTGATGAAAGGAACCTCCTTAAAATATGCTAAGAGGGTAAGGATACTTGGATGCCGTGGCCATTCATAATGAT